TCTCTCTCTCTCTCTCTCTCTCTCTCTCTCTCTCTCTCTCTCTCTCTCTCTCTCTGTGTGTGTGTGTGTGTGTGTGTGTGTGTGTGTGTGTGTGTGTGTGTAGCCGTCGGTTGTGTTTTCGATCTGCAGTCCTTTTGGCCATTTAATACTTTGTTTTGTTTATTTTTTGAAATGAAAAGCTCCGATCTATTGGTGGGGAGCATCACCTGTTGGAAACCGGGTCTGTCACAGCAGAACTGCAGAATACATTTGTCGGCGCTGCAGGCAACGTGCTCATAGGAATTAAGAGTAGGGGTGAAAGACTGATAGGACATGGCAAATTTTGTAGAAAGGCTCCACACGTAAGCCTACTCTCACCGAAGCCTTTTTACAAAGCGTCAGAAGTGAATGCAGTCAGATTCATCTAGGGCTGGGCCATAATTGCGACCAGAAAGTGCTAGTGTGACTATGCCCTGAGCTGCAGTGGAATCGGTCTTCAGACCTCTGTATGAGGACGAAAGACTAATCGAGCCGCCCTCTTTTTGATGGACGCTCTCGGACTCTTCGACTTTCCTCGATATGATCGAGGAGCAGTACATGGCCATAGTAGGACTTTCTGTGCAAATGTCTTGACGAGATTGCTGCCAGATTCATCCATGCACTCAAACACTTTAAATGTACATGAGCAAGCTTTCAACTCGTTTATGACTGAATAACTTAATGAAGTCTCAAGATTATCCTATCACAAGCGTAATTTAAAATTGTCGTGATAACTTAAGTAGCTTAGTGGTTTTAATGGCATAAAAATGCTTATCGAGTAATCGGATGTGCAAAGTCGTATCAGTGCGATGAACGTGTACTCAATCAACATTCACACGTATAGCCATGTTCGAAATATGTTACCAAAATTCACAATTTTTTATTCGTAGACGTTATGACGGGTGTCATGATACACATGTGGTACTAACATATATATCCGTTCCTCTGCCTAATCCTAATATGATTGGCAAAACTGAACACGCCAGCCATATCAAAAAAAAGTTTGTCGTTTTGTTTGGATCATCAGCCCGCATTTAACGTGGGTTCGTTCACTAAGGAACCCGGTAGGCAGCCTAGATCCCTGGCAACAGTGCCACATGTCAGTTGCATCGGTCTTGCAGGGGGACCATCTCGATTGCGTCACGCAGGATTTCGTAGGACTTGTCATGGAGAGCATTTGCCGTTTCGGCCGAGTGCGTCAGGCGTACCTCTCGCAAACCCCTATGACAGGACAGGGTCGCGGGAATCACAACTTCGTCCACATGTGGGAGTTGTTACCATCCCTTAGGTGTGTGTATTCCCGTGGAGCTACCGAACCACGTGGGAAGGCTTTTCATATGCAATTGCAGCGGTTGCCCGGTTGAGGGTGTTTCTCGTTTGTTGGAGCATAGGGGCTACCCAAAGTTGATGCCTGAGTCGAACTCGCACACGAATTTTTGCCCGAGGCGTTGATCTTTCGAAATGTGCTCGTACGTCAGTGGACTAGGACAGTCATTCTAACCACGTGATACACTCTTCAACTAAAACTTCAGTTTATTTACAATATTGCGCCTAGTCCCTTTTTCGCTTGACCCGCAACTGTTCTCTTGTTTGCGAGGAAAGACGTTGCGTGCAAGACTTCACATAAATAACCGTTGCTTCGCAGACCTCTGTCATAGTGATTAGTCATGGACGAATACGTGAGCAGTCACGATGATGGAGTACTATGTACTGCTCATAAACATGTGATTCCTTTTAAATCGTAGGATTGACTTTGATGCTACGATGATGGAGTACTATGTACTGCTCATAAACATGTGATTCCTTTTAAATCGTAGGATTGCCTTTGGGTTAGTCCTTTAGCGAGCGTAGAAGCGGATAGAGTACCGTGTCATCTTTTGCATTCTGTTGTGCCCCAAGTGAGGTAGGGTATGATGGCATTGGGGGTAGAAGGGAACTTGAAGTGGTGGCGAGTTGTCTGGCGCAACACCAGCAACTGTTAACCATCTACCCGAAACCTTATCGTGCCACCAAGATACATTATAAAAAGAAGGAAAATCAAATTGTCGTGCGCACGCTATTGTGTTATTGTTCGTAGGTTTTGACCTATGGTAAACATGTGCGTGTGTCCACTGCAACAATGGGAAGCAAGGAAGTGGTCAAGTCGCGCTTGGTACCTTTGCGAGGGTTCCGACCACTTATTTTGCATGAGAACTTTAGATGTAGCCCTCACAAAGAAGTTCAAAAGAGAATAAAAAATGTAGGAAAATCACAATATCCAGTTATGCCAACTCTCGCAATCACTATCATGGTGACGCTTCGTGTTACCCACAATCGCTTGACCCTTTGCGGGCTTCAGCGTTGCGCATGACACCCAAGTGTCAAAGACGAGGTGTCGTGAAGGAAACTTCGTTTAAGATATTGAATGGTTGAAGAATAAGTCGTTGAGCTCTCGTGGCACCTTTGTCCTTTAGTCGGAGCACCATAATGGGCAGGGCATAAATGTTCAGCGCATAAGGAAAATCCTTTTGTGTTGAGTTTAAACTTGGAATGTCCTGGACAAGAACCTCAAATTCAAGGTTCAAGATTGATGTCTGGCGAGTTAATTCAAATAGCAAAAAACAAGAGTGTGCATAATCGCGGGTATTACGCGAATTGTGCATACTCATATTCACTTGCCAACAATGGCTACGCAAAAATAAAAGGGTTTAGTCATTCACACGAAGAGGTTGTGTAACTTTAGTCTATCACTCTCATAACAATATTGTGGCTTATCCATCGGCATTCACGCAACATACAAACAAACATCAAGACTTAACTTATAAAGCTTTTACGCATAACTGCGGTCACACAAAGTTTAAACAAGAACATCGAACACAATAAAGGAGTAAAGTTTACCATTCGGTGCGATTCACACAAAACTGAACAATTTTCCGCCATCCAACATCAAAGATATTCAGTCATTAGAAATTGTCATTAAGAAAAAAATTTGGGTGAAAATCCTAAGAAATATGAAAACCCAACAAGGGTTAAGGTCTTCGGTTAAGTTGCACAAGCAGGTAAGTTGCGTCGTAGACTGACTTGTTATCAAAGGATAACAAAAGAGTGATTTTTTATAGATCAGGTCAAACAAGTCGCGCCCTTAAGCAATTGTGTAGTCTTGCATCACCGTATAGATTAGGCGGAACAATTCGTACCCTTAATCGAATGCATAGACTCGCATCACATTATAGGTAAAACAAAAATCAATATTACTTTTTTTAAACAAATGGAGGACATGCTCTATTTCGCAGCCTCTGACAATGTGTTTGTCCCTGATCTTAGTCTCCCTTTTCCTCAAGTTCAATAGGTGATCTACACTGCCCAATAGTTGTGAGTCAGTTAACACTATGATTCACCTTCAAAAAGGCATGCTCATCCTCATAACTTTCTCAGCAGTTGGGGCTTGGTAAGGGTAAGTCAATTAAGATTTTGCTACTCAGTCCACTTCGACCCCCCCCCTCTCCTACTAACCAAAGGTGTGGTAAGTGAACGCAATAGAAATTGAGTGCAAAAGTAAAAATAAAAAATGATGATAACCATATTAAATAAATAAATAACTGAAGTAAAACTAATGTATGCCTGCTATCTTTTGGTCTAGGTGTAAGCATATAATTCACACATTCAATTTTTTTTAATCCCTTAGAAGATTCGACAAAGCGGAAAACAAAAAAATAAATAAATACATAAATACATTGACAGTTTGCACAAGGCATTAGCAAGCTCCCTCCTTTCGTCGATTTCCCCCTTTCCTTTTTCGTGATCCTCGTTTTCTCCCTTCTCTCCATGATTTCCACTCACATTTCTTCCTCTTCGTACCCTTTCTTCCTTTTCTACGTTGATGGT